CATGCAAATCCCTGCTTTCTGACGCAAAGCTATAAGCAAATTATAGCAAAAAATGTGTGCTGATTATGCTAATCCAATGTTGCGATTGACATCTTGGCCTCGGAACCCCTCATCCTATAGCTACATCAAACACAGCAATTATAAAGCATGACAGCTGATGCCAAACCCCATATGAAAAACTGATCTTAAGAGAAGAGTTTAAGACAGCATTGTGCATTTCAAAGAGAATATTCTGTATTGGTAGATCTCCCAGTTGCTGCTCAAAAATCAGGATGCGGGGGGAGGGAAAAAGGAGGAAACCTTGCATTTTTCCACCACCAGTGCTTGCTATAGTGGTAAGGTGATCTGAAATTAGCCTACCAAGGTAAATATGAGGATTATTCAGCCAGATAAAACTGTATAAGAGATGGCAATACACATACTTCTACTTTGGTGACAACAATATCCAGGCTGATAAACAAGGTACCTCCAGTTCCTTTAATCTCCAAGGAGTGTATCTTATCAGGAGGAAGCACCACCAAACTGTATAATCAAGAATTTAATTTTCTATTGTTATAATTCAAGAGCAGAATTCGACGTACATGGTTGTGCCTTTGCAGTTTTTATCTACCTTGTTTAAAATTCTATTTGACTACATTACGCCGCTTTGACTGTTTGTTATAGTGTTATGGGACTTCCAAAAGAGGAATGGAAATGTGGGTCTCCCCATCTCCCCACCTAGGCTGGGGGATGGAGAAGGGGTGAGCCATGGTCTTGAACTTCTTTCTTGCTGTTGCTCGTACAAGCAAGCAACTGGAGCCTTCAGCGTCACGTGTTCCATTGAAAACACAAGGTTGCCAGATAACGTCAGCTTTACAAAAGGAACAATCAGTGTGTATCCTGGTGATAACTAGGCCCTGAAAAGCTGCCAAACATCCACAGTGCCAGAAACCTTCCAATGTTACTTCTGTGAGAGGTTTAGAATGGCCAATTTGTTCAGCTCCAGAAGAAAACAAGTCAAGCGCAAAGGTGAGGGAGATGAGGAAGGCAAAAGAAATGAACATGGAACACAACTATCCTACCAATGCACCACAGCCAAAGAGAGGTCAAAATGGCACTGTCTCTTCCCTGGTAGCAGGGGGTAAAGTGATGGCTTTGAGGAAAGACACCCTTGTTTTAACAGTGCTTTGAAGAGTACAGAGAAACATCAGATTCCTAGAACTGGCAGAGCATACATATATTTTTTTTAAATGGCTTGTCCATGACGCCATGCTTTGGCCTCAGTTATGCCCTGCTGTTCCAAGACAATATGGTGGTATTCTTTTGGTCCTGAAGCCAGCATCTCGGGTCGTGGGGAACCCATTTATCTTTTTCCTCTGTAAGTTGTATTTGACTCTGTCAGATGCAGTGTACCTACATTACAGACGTCAGGGGAATTAGTTTTCCCAGTGCATATTTCCTTTAATTAATTTGCACAATGGGTTGTTTTGCTTAGAGGTCTTCCTCCCAAGTTAGTAATGTCCTTGCTTCACATTCCTTAGTTTATGAGATTTGGATCCAGCCCTTCATGTGGTAGCTGTAAAAAATTGTAATTTCTTTTTAAGAGGAGGAAAATGCCACCCACAACTTATACTGTTCTTGATTACGTTCCCCTCCCTTTCAACCCCGTAGCTTAAAAAAAGAAGAAAAGATTAGTACGCCACAAACATATGAAACCAAACAAACACACACAAAATTGTGGATAAGCTGTTGAAGCTTCCGGAATTTTCACTAGACAAGATGTAATAACAGAGATGTTGGGTCCTGATGGAAGGAGGGGGAGGGAGGCTGTCTTGAGGTTAGTCATGAAGTTTGCAAGGTCAACAATGGAATTGACAAAGAGTCTCCATGGCTCTACTAAGTGCCATGCAGGTTTTAGTTCCTATCTAGGACTGTTGGGCAAACAAACATATAACGGTTGATACCTTCATTTCTGAAATAAATAATATTCCAATAGTTGAGCAGATCTGTCTATTTAACCACAGTTGAAAAATGCAGGTGGGCAGAGACCAAAAAAGCACAGAAGAACACACCACTTTATCTAATACCAAAGCTGGGTATTGATTTTGGGTTGTGTTCTAGATTTACAAAGTCAGTAGAAGCCAAATTAGATGGTGTTATCTAGTGTGTATCATAGTCAAAGTGATGGTTTTTCCAGTAGCGATGTATGGAAGTGAGAGCTGGTCCATAAAGAAGGCTGACAGCGGAATAATTGATGCTGTTGAATTGTGGTGCTGGAGGAGACTCTTGAGAGTCCCCTGGACTGCAAGGGGAACAAACCTATCCATTCTGAAGGAAATCAACCCTGAGTGCTCACTGGAAGGACAGATCCTGAAGCTGAGGCTTCAATACTTTGGCCATCTCATGATAAATCTCCCTGTAAAAGACCCTGATGTTGGGAAAGAGTGAAGGCAAGAGGAGAAAGGGACAACAGAGGACAAGATGGGTGGACAATGTCATTGAAGCTACCAACATGAATTTGATCAAACTCCAGGAGGCAGTTTGGTCAAATTCATTCTTGTACATGAATTTGACCAAACTCACAGGAGGGCCTGGCGTGCTCTAGTCCATGGGGTCACAAAGAGTTCGACATGACTTTACGACTAAACACCAATCAAGTGGAGGAAGGAAGCAGCTACTTATCCTTCTCCTTAAAGGCTAAATAAGGCATTTTCCACATTATACTCAGGACAAAAAATGATGTCTATGGTTTTTGTTATAGCAATTAAGTTTGGTTGCAGCCAGAAATTTGGATTAAGCCAACGACCACACAGAAAAAGTCAGCTTTGAGAAGAAGTACTGAAGGGTACATTAATTGTAATACATGTACACAACCTTATCAGTATCTTACTGTACATTTACATTAAAATAAATATAAGAATTAAAATAACATCTGGCAATTCTGCAGGGGGGGCTAAGCTTTTTATTTTCAGTGAGAGGGAGATGCTGTAAACTTATGCCTTTGTTACCTAAGTCTCAGGTAGAATCTCATCACATTAATTCTGTCTTATGGCGCTCCTCCCAGAATTTTTTAGGTATAAATTACTCAACCACAAATGTTCTGGATCAGGGGTCCCCAACCCCCTGTCCGCAGCCCAGTGCCGGTCCATGAACTTCCTTGAGCTGGGCCATGGACACGGATCTCCGCCCCCCACCTGGTGGGCTTGTTGCAATTGCGGGTGGGCGTGTTGCGCTCGCGCGCTGTGCGCCACGCCGCTCCGCAAAGCATGACGCGCCTCTCCACAAGTGTGACATGCCCACCCGTAAGCGCAGCCCCCCCACGCACTGAGCCCGCGCCCCCCAACCAGTCCGTGGTATGAAAAAAGTTGGGGACCGCTGCTCTGGATGATCTGGGTTGGCTCTTATAGTAGCAGGCGTGTGGGATTCAAAGTCCTGCCCCCTGGATCTGTAGCCAGATATTTCAAAACGAGACAATATTTCATAGGTGGCCCTACCACTAGGCAGAGTGAGCACACCACTACAAGCAGCGGAGTATGATGGTGGTGGGTACCATGTGTTTCTGTCATTCTCCTTGAACCTCTTAAATCAGTATACCTTGCTCTAGCATCTTGTCGTTTGCCTGAGGCAACCACATACTGTACAGTATATTGGGCTGGCCCTGCCTAACTGATTCACCAATATTTACTCATCACAACTGCAGAACTTGAGAAAGCGAAAATTAAGCCACAGTAGTGATCTTGAGGAATGGTATTTCTTGTTGCTTCTGTCCCTCAGCTGATTTGACTTCTTGAACAAGCTGCTTTTTCATTACCAAACTAGGCCGTCAGCATAATTTTGTCCAGCACACAATAAAGACTTATTTAAAACTGCAAAGGAAGAAAATGTCAAAACAACAAACAACAAGAAGAAACTGAGTGTGAAACTCAGAAGCAACTTTGAAAGTACTTTTCTTGAACAGATTTCTGGGCAGTAATTCCACAGCAAATGTTTAATGTACATTTGATGTCTTGGAGGCAAGGAGTGAGTTTAAGAGGTCACTATTGTTTCAAATGGACTAATCACCAGTGTTAACTGCTTTTTACTTACAGTGATTTGAATTAGAACCAGAATGGTTTCAAGCATGAGTCACCCACTCTGTTAGGGAATAGTGTGGTCAGACTATTTCTAGTAAGACCAAGGGAACAAGAAGATGGCTGGGTATACTACAGGAGTAAAAAGTACTCCAGATATTTTGGACAGTTAGCTGAAGCCAGTGGTAAAGGAGTGTGAGAGTTGTACTCTATAATGTCTTGGGATCCAAACATTGTCCACCCATTGTACATAGCAGGTTGGTAGGTATATTGAAACTCATGACACAACAGGAGATAAGCAGTAGTATGTAACACACTAGTGGTGCTTTAAAGAGGGAGTAATTTTGTCAGTGACCTGCTGCCAGTAATTTGAACAATTTCTGAAAGAGGATTTTGAGCCAAGAGAGCTCAAAATAGGTGACCAGTTATACTTGTACCCATGGATAAGAATCTGATATGTTTCTGTATTAAACCTGAGTAACACAAACTGTGAAGGCATTCTCACTATTAACTCATTATTACCCCATTAGCCCTTCACTCATACTTGAGTACTTCCTAAATCTCAGTTTGGACTCATTTCTTTCCTTTGCCAGTTTTATAGCCAGCTTCTCCTGTATTTTATTACTTACAACAGTTTTAGACAATTAACTGAGAATTATGTTTTCATTTATTACTTTTAGGAAGTAGAAAATGTCCTTTGCTATCCTTAATTCCTGGAGATTGGAGCTGTTCCATTTCTCAGGAAGTCAGATTAGCTCGAATATGCACTTCTCTGATTGGCCAATGCTAGAGTCTATCTTAAGATGTAGCATTGCATCCAATTCTGTTTAATAGGCACAGTCTATGCATGTGATGCCTAATTAATATACTTTCATCAAGGAGTCTTGCTGCTATTTCATTTATTATGGGTGACCCCATTAACTCACCTGCATGAGAAATCCACTCCTGTTCTGCATTTTGCATTGATAATTTTATTTGATGAAAAACAATACAAAGAATTTTCACAGCTAAAATATCTGCTGTCTTTTTTTTCTCTGAAGAGTTTCCTGCAGTTAAGGCCAATGCAATCTCTTCTTACATGGCTCCTACACTGCTTGTTTTGTCTTTTAAACTTTTATATCTAACGTGACAATTGTCCTAATGTGTCCAACATCTTAGATAAACAGAATATTGGCAAAGAAGAGTTTGTGATAAGATTGCAGGTGCTTATGAAACACATGGGTTTATGGAACACTTATACCACAATGGCATTTTAACAGATAATTGCTTTTACCAGATGCCATAAATGGCAATGACTACCGCTATATATGCCATGAATTGTAATGACTAAGCGTAAACTCTTCATGCCCATACCAAAAATTGGAACGATCACAGTTCACATCTACACTCAGCCATGAAGGTCTTTTCTCTCAGCCTAACGTGCCACACAGGATTGCAGCATGGTGGGGCCATAGAATCATGTATACCAATCTGAGTTTCTTGCAGCAATGATTGGTAGAAATATAATCAATAGTAATAGAATCATAGAGGTGAAAGGGATTGCAAAAGCAATTCAGTCCAGCCACTAGCCAATGCAGGAAATTTGCTCTTACATTCCTGATCTAATCTCTGGTTAAAATAGGCATAAGGAGCTACAGATTGCGAGTATCAAGACTTGTGCACCAATTCATTTGGTCCTTCAGATGTGTGGTTGGGAGGAGTTCAAGAAGTGAAAGATTATGCTTCTCTTGAATAATCCTTAGTGGAATATTGTAAACTGCTGAAACAGAAGAAGAAATGAATGCCATCAATGATGCAGAGTAAGGTCTTTTCCAAAGCAAGGATTAAATTCAGCATGGGGGTGTGGAGAATATGTTGGGCCAGGATTCAACACAGGGTTGGAATTCCCACTTAGCCATGAAGTTTGCTGCATGACCTTGTGCCAATCCTATTCTCCTAGCCTAAACTACCTCAGGGACGTTGACAAGGGCTGGACTTGATGATCCCTAGGGTCCCTTCCAGCTCTGCAGGTCTAAGACTACTGTGAGGAAAAAGTGAAGAGAAAGAAGAAAGCAACACAGCACCATGATATCACTGAAAAAAGGGATATAAATGCAACCAATAAAGAAATAAATAATGGGTTTAATAAAACATAAGCAATTTGTAAAGTTATTTATCTTAAATAATGCTTAGCAGTGCCATATGATTGCCTTGCCTCAGACATTGATTAACCAATTGTTTCATCGCTCTGTTTGTCCATTTATGAAAAAATTCTTGGAGGTTTCCCTTTTCTTTTAGGTTGAGAGAGGATTGTTTCCTTTTGTCTACACGCACAAATCCTTGGCGAAAAGCCGGAATGTTCCAATGCACAAGCTGAATTCTTTTTCTTTGTGAAAATGCCCAGGGGAGCAATACTGTGTAAGAAATTGCCACAGTACATTTAACTATGTCCAGAATCTGTATCTGATGTTTCTGAAACCCGGCCAAGAGGACCACAAAAATCCTCTAGCTGCCTTCGTTTGTCTGCTGTTTTACAATTGTTATTTTGATACAGTATATGTATTTGTATATGTTCTTCTTTATCCACAAAAATCCTCTAGCTGCCTTCGTTTGTTTGCTGTTTTACAATTGTTATTTGATACAGTATATGTATTTGTATACAGTATGTTCTTCTTTATCTTTTTTGGAAGCCGCCTAGAGTGGTCGCAACGACCAGATAGGCGGGGTATAAATAAAATAAAAATAAATAAAATTCGGGTATTCTCCCGTGCCTTTTTAGTGAGATAAAGATACCCTGTGGTCGAATCTCGGGGTGGGCCTGAATACAATACAACAAAAAAGCAGTCCCGGCTGGTGGTGGGGACTCACCTTTTCCAATGCTTTCCTCTTGTATTCGAAGAAATAAAAGAGAGAAACCGATTCCCAATCCCTTCAACTAGAAGAGGAGCACAATGCAAAAGAGACAGGGTGACCCGCTCTCCCTTCTCCCAGGCTAGGCTTCTGCGAGTTGTTGTTGTTTTGTTGCTGGATTGACTCTTGCTGTGCGGGCGTGTTTAGCCCCGAAGAGGGGACTCCTTCACCTGCCACCGGGCAGACCTGCTCCTCTCAGGCTCTCTGAGGTCTTTCATCCCGGGGCTTCGCTGCCCTCCTGAAAGCAAGCCAGGGAGGCGGCGAGTCTCCCGAGGCAGGAACAGGAAGCGCTCCCGGGGAGACGCCGAGCCACCCCACCACCGCCCTGCAAAGGCACCGGCCCAGTTCAGGTCGACGACTCCCGGGGACCTCCCTCAGGAGCGGCTGAACCCGCCCCATTCCCAGCCTCCACCGCGGCTACGCCCCCACCCTCCCCAGTTCCTTTCCCAATTCCCATCCTCAACCAAGGCGGAGCTGAGCTGAGCGGAGGGTGGGGGGAAGCATTGGCGGCGGCTCTTTTCTCTCTCTCGCTCTCTCTCTGTCCGTCTCGCAGGCGCCAAGAAGGAGGGGAGGGAGACGAAGAAGCCGTCGCTGCTTCTGAGGGGGGGACGGACCGTGAGGGGAGTGGTGCCGGTGCTGCCGCCGCCGCCGCCACTACTACTACTGCTGCTGCTGCTGCTACGACCCGCCGTGCCGTCGTCGCCCCCCAGCAGCGGGGGAAAAGCGGCGGGAGGGAAAGAAGGGAAAGAAGCCGAGCCTTCACCCAGCAGCGCCGGCGGCGGAGCCTGGGCTGCCCGCGGGGGAGTCACCATGAGCTGGGGCGCCGAGCTGTGGGTGAGTCCGCCCTTCGCTGGGCTTTTCATTGTGTCTGGGATTCGGACCCCCCCCCCCCACCTACCCCCCCCCCCCCCCTCACCCCCCCCGTGGGCAGGGAGGGCGAGAGGAAAAGAAGAAAGGCGGGCCAGGGAGGGAGAGAGGGAGGGACGGCCGGCCCCGCCTTGGGGGGGGGAAAGGAAGCCCCCCACCCCCCAGTCTGCCCGAGCTGGGAGGGCGGCGGGGACACCTTTGGGTGCCTTTGTGGCGGGGTGGGATAGGAACACCTCAGGGGTCAATAGGGAAACCGGAGCTGGACTGTTGAGGGGAAAGGGGGGTTTCCCATGGTCAGGAAGGGAGGCGACGGCAGGGGTACAATTCAGATTTTTGGCAGGATTTCCCCCTCCTTTGTAATGCCTGGGCTTCCTGGTGGGGCTTTATGTGGATACAAGTCGCGCCGCCTTTGGCCCTCCCATCTCGCCCTCTTTTGTATACAGAACGGGTGTCCCCTTTCCTTCAGGAGCCCGGGGCTCTCCCGAGAGAAAGCCATCGAGCAGCAAGCATCAACACTGCCCCCCCCCCCTTGAAGGGTGGGGGATTTGATGATGGATCTGCTTTGCTTTGCCATGCACGGGTGTTTTTTTCCTTCTTTCTTAAACAAAGAAAAGATCCCCCCGGACGCAGGGTAGTGCTGGGATACTCAGGCATGCCGAGTGCGCATGGGGTGTGGATGTGTTTCCTGGCGAGGAAGAAAATAAAGGTGAAAAGAGCTTTCAGGTTAGTGGAGTTCCGTCTCGGCGTGAGTCAGCTTGGATCTTGCTCTGCGATCGTCACCTAATGCTGGCTGCCCTGGTAGGGGAATGGCTACCGGTAGAGAAAGGAAGGAGGTGTGTTGGGCTAAGGCGGTCGAAGCCAGGCATTGGCTTAGCGGGCTTGCAGTCCTGCAGATGAACTGTGAACGCTGCTAGCCAACTTGCAATCAACTCTGCATTTGATTTTAATTGAGCTGGCAGGCTAGCTGCAATAAGAGGATCTGTTGATTACAGCCTTATTACTGATTCTTACTAGGCAAAGCCTGATTCGCTCCAGAACCAGTGTATTCATTCACGTTCTAAAATGCTGTGTCCTTAGTGCAGCAAATGCCCTGCTTCCTCTTGCAGCCGCCCAGTGAAATCATTGGAGAGTTGCAGTTGGCAAGTAGTTCCTCTGGCTGGCTCTCCCTACACACAGATTTCCATCTTGAAAAAAACCATTATTAGAACGTATTCATAGCAATAATGGTGGGGAAGCCAACATACACAGAGCTCTGTGGTGTCTGTGGCACTAATCACTGCTGGTAAGTTTTATGAAAGAAGTAATGGGAAGTGGTGGGAGAAACAATCTGGTTGCCTTTAGTGGCTGTGTATTATAGTGTATGTTGAATGGAGAGGATGGATAGTTAGTATAAAAATAGGATATTTCTCTTATGCATTAGGCAGCTCAACAAATCTTGTCATTCGGTGCTTCTGCTCATATGCATTTCTAGCTTAATTGGTGCTTTGAAATTGGTTTCAGTAGACATGTGCAGAAGCATTCACATAAGCCTTGAAACATTTAGTAGTTGAAAACCTCGACTTACAAACTTAATCCGTTCTGGAAGGAAGTTTGTAAGTTGAAAAGTTTGTAAGTCGAATCAGCATTTCCCATAGGAATGCATCGAAAACCAATTAATTTGTTCAAGTCTGGTTTTGGTTCTTAGGTCGAGGGGCAGTTTGTAAGTCGAAGCATTAGTTCCCATAGGAACTAATGCAAAGCCGGTTAATGCGTTCCTACCACTAGGGGTAGAATTTTTTTTTCCTTTTAATCTAAGATGACTTAGGTTAAAAAAAAGAAAAGAGGGAGGGAAGGAGGGAACAGACACCTTTTCAACAGAACACCTTGGAAAGCACCTTTTCAGTCAAGACACGCCAAGACAAGCACCTTTTGGGGGAAAAAAGGGGCAGCAAAAGAGGGAGGGAACTCCTTTTAAACCAAGCACCTTAACCCCCCTCCCAGCAAGGCACAGAATCCAGCAACCATTCCTCCAGCACAAAAATGCCTGCCTTCCTGAACAAACACCACAGCTCTCTCTCCAGAGAGAGAGAGAGATAGAGAGAGGAAACAACCCTTGCTTTCCACAGCTTCTCCCCATGATTGTCCGACTGCCCAGCCGAGTCCACTACAGTGCGTGGGAACATTTGCCACCCATCTCTGTGGCTGGTGTCAGACCCCTGAATGTGCCAGATCCAAAAACATAAGGAAGCGGAATTTGCTTCCCATTAAAACCCCCTGCATGAAAACAGAGCCTGGGAAAGGTAGTTTGGGGGGAATCTAAGGAGTTGTTCGAAACCTTTAACTTTCTCCAGCTCTGCCTAGAAAAGTCCTCCCAGTCTTGGTCCTTCCTCCCCACTACCCCACTCCAGTCTCTCCTGCATTCAGTCCGTGAAAGCTGGCCCAAGGAGAACCTCTTCCCTCGGTGGGCGAGGGGTGGCGTCCCCGTCCAGGTGTCTCGCTTACCTTTGACCTGCCTCAGCTTGGACCTGGCTGTCAGGGGACTTCGCTCCTCGTCCGGCGGCCTCATCAAGGGCTTTGGAGGACTCACGGAAGAAGAGGAGGCTCTGGCATCAGGGCAAGTGCAGCCCGGCTTGTTGGCTTCGGCTGGGGCCAAGCGGTGCCGCACTTGGGGCTAGAGGTGGAAATAAAAATCAGTGCTCAGCAGTGCCCCAAGAAGCAGCAGGATGAGCAGACGGTCATGTCAGATCCCCAGCATGGCCAGTCCAGCGCTCGGCAGCGGCCACCAGGATCCTCGCCTGGGGGGAGACGATGGCTGTGATCCGGAGGGATCGTGGCCTCTGAGGAGGGTGGACAGGGACCAGAGAGGTGAAGTGCGTGGAAACGGAGGGAAGAGAGCCCACCTGGGGAGGGCCTCTGCCCCACTGCCGCTGCAGGAGCAGGTGAGGGGGAGAGAGGAGACGGTGGGTCTGCTCTCCTCCGGGGAGGGGGGGAAACGAGGCAAGGCTTGGCCGCACCTGGCACCTTGCCCAAATCGCCAGTCCCGAGCTGCCCTCCCCAGGCAGGGCGGCAGGTGAACCAGCAGGCAGCGCTGCCTCTGGAAGGGTGGATCTGCTTGGGGTGGGCATGGAGGGAAGGAGGGAGCAATGGAGGGAGGGAGGGAGGGGAGCAGCCACAACGGACCTGACGTATCCTCCTCCTTCCAGGGAGCTCAGATCAGGGGCAGTGACTGTGCCGGCCAATGTGCCTGTGAAAGCGCTCCTCGCCAGTCTCCGAATCAACAGGAGGAGGGAAGGGAAAGAAAAAAAATCGGGAGAGGAAAGGATGTGGTATTTGTTCAGTTTGAACTTTCAGTTAGCCAACGGTTAACTAAAAGTTCAAATTTCGTGCTTTCCCTGCCTCCCACGCATTTTTTCTCCCTTCGTAACTCGAAGCAAAGTTCGCAAGTTGAGGAAATGTTTTCCTATCAGAGCGGTTTGTAGGTCATAATGTTCGTAACTAGGGCCGTTCGTAAGTCGAGGGTTGACGGTAAAATGGAAAGTCACTGTGGTGTAATGAATAGAGTGTTGGTCTAGGTCTTAGGAGACCTGCGTTCAAATCTCTCCTTGGTCATGGAAACTCACTGAGTGTATGTATGTGGCAGTAATAAGCCATTCCTGGAATGTCTCACATACCTGAAAAACCTGTTATGATGTTAGGGTCACTGTATGGTGTGCAAGGCCTGACAGCACAAAACAATACTATATACAAACGTCCAGCCTGAGATGTGTGAGTAAGATGGGCAGTTCTCATTGGAAGAAGGTGTTCTGCCAAGTATAAAGGTCCCAATCCATTTAGGGCTTTTTGTGTTAGAATCATCACCTTGAAACTGGCATAGAAACAGACAGGTGACCAGTGCAAGGCAGCCAGGGTTGGAGAAATGTGAAACATGCCCTAGTTATATCTTGGCTGGATTACTGTAACACTCTACATGGGATGGCCTTTGGAAAACTCCAAAGGGTCCAAAATGCTGCAGCAGATTGCTACTTGGGACTAGCTACAGGGAACATGTAACTCACCTATTACAGGAGCTCCATTGACTGCGGATCCGTTTCCGAATACAATACAGAGTGCTGGTTTTAACCTATCAAGCCCTAAATGGGTTGGGTCCAAGTTATCTCAAAGATCATCTCTCCCTCTATGAGCCTGCCCAGACATTAAAATCATCAGGGGAGGCCTTTTTCTTGGTTACCCCACACTTAGAGATGCACTGGGAGGGACACGAGGAAAGGCCTCTGTCACTGCTCCCAGACTCTGGAACCTCCCTCCTACTGGGCTGGCCCCATCTTTGCTGTCCTTCCTTGGGCAGGAAAATACCTTTTATTTCAGGCAGGCTTATCTTTAATGACTGATGGTCTGAGAGGGATTTTAAAACGTATTGTTGTGCTCTGGTTTTAAATGTATTTAGTGTTGATTTTACTTACTGATTTTAATATAATACTTGTTTAATTAAAAAAATAGTTCTGTACTTACTGTTCTTAGCTTTTGAAGGTTGTCTTTTTAATGATGTTAAGCTGCCTTAGATACTTTTTAAGGAGAACAGTGGGATAAAAGTGTTTTAAATAAATAAATAGTGGATGGCCAGACTACATACCTCATTTGTAGCGGAGACAGTAACCCCACCAAAGGAAAGGGAAGCACAGACATCAGGGGCACCCACCCGAAGGACCTCCATCTTGTCTGGGTTCAGTATGTTGTATGTAGGTTGTCTCAGTTAAGGTTTATTCTTACAGATTAATTCAGTAAACTAATGAGAGTAAGGGTATGGAAAATTGGATATCATTTTTAAGAATTGGCAAGATAAAATACGTCTGAGCTTTACAGCAGGGATGTGGGATTTGTGGACCAACACATATTGTTGAACTGTGACTTCCATCATGCTTTACTGTGGACTGTGATGGTGAGGATAGATTAAGTTTCAGTCCAACAATATCTGATGGCTCTACTTTTGC